AATAGATATGCATTGTCATTTCGTACGTACGGTATAGGATACACACCATTATTTTATTTTATTTTATTTTTTTCCTGTTTTTCCTTTTTTGAAAATAATTTGATATGCAAGTTAGGTGGAGGATCGATAGCCGACATTACAGAATAATAACAAGCGGTCTCTTTCTTATTGAAAGTAACAATAATAAACGTTCAAACTTTTGTTTTGTTCTGTTATTTCAATAAAACATAAAGGTAGGTGAAGGTGAAGGGAGTATCTTGAGACCAAATCTTACCTTGTTGTTAAAATAATAAGTAAAATTAGACTCTGTGTGTTTGTGGTGAGACTGCAGATAATCTCAAATGGGGAGTATAAAAGTGTGCAGTCTTCAGTCTCAGATGTTGGGAGCAGTTGGAACTAGTAAGAAACCAGCTCTTCATCGGACATTCAAATTGAGAAAATGGATTATAATACCACTTAATGACGACCACCAAAGAGAAAACATTTCCTTTTCAATTAGGTAGGTTATTGACATTGGAAATTTAACAATGCCATCACACAAAGCTAGCTGCATTCACATCACACAAAGCTCGACCGAAAGGAAAATTCAAGCAGCATCTGGAAACCAGATAACAAGGCAAATATAAACCAAGAGACCAAAATTATCCCAAAATTCATATATCTTAATATAAACTGCACTTGTTTAACTCCGTGTCCCAGGATCCGTCTGCCCAGCTATTGATGAATTGGGAGATTGTGGAAGCATCCCCTACCTTATGCGGAAAGTGGACTCCGATTGCCAATCCACCGCATTCAAAAAAACTTGCCCGAACTAGTAGAAGATAGCCTACATAATGAGTTGGACTTGGAAGCAATTTCCACAGCAACCCAAGATCTGGTTTGACCAAAATCTTCGATATGGGACAGTTTACTTGGGCTTCAAGATATGTAGCGCCCTCGTCATTGCAAGAGATTGAAATATTATTTTGGAACGTTCCCGCTGAGGGATAGAACTGAGTGAGGGCTTCAGATAAGGATGCTTTTTCAGAAGCTTGGATCTCTCAGAAATTAAAGAATGAAGATCAATCTTATTATTGAGCACATCATCAGTAATATTGTTGCTGGGATAGAAGAAAAGTTGCGGGACATAAGCGTCTGGAATAATCTGATCAAAAACAGAAAGCTTGGTAGTTTGAAGCAATGTTTTGAAAAGCGAGGCGTACAGGCAAGGCATTTTTTGTCCCACAAGGCAAGGCTTAAGCCTTGAGGCATTGAAGCGTAAGCTTTTCGAGCATATATTATTTTATAGAGTGAATATAAAAATACAGATTACTTGAGCCCAATATTAATCATTGTAAAAATTTATTTAACATAACCAATGAATCAGTATTATTTTGAAAAGAAAAAAGTCTTAAATATGTTATTAAGTGGACATTAATAACCCATACTCTCATTATTAAGGGCTTTTTTTTTGTTGGGCTTTATAATGGAACTACTTGCTTTTGAAAAAGCAAAACTTGAATAAAACGATGAGTTTCATTCAAAAGGGACCATAAGAGGCGTATCAGAATAAATAAAAAAACAGAAGAGGCAACGGTGTCGTTTAGTGAAAGAAGTTAGGTCAGATCTGATCTTCTTCTTCATGAAAAACTTAGCGCCTCAGACGCCTTAGCGACCGCGTTGCTCCGCTTTTCGCCGCCTCACTGTCATTATGTACGCAAAACGTGTAGAATGCTAAACAAACGACGCCTTGAGGCGATTTGCTGCCGCCTTGCTACGAGGCGCGCTCTGATACGCGCCTACGCATGCCTTTGAAAACACTGGTTTGAAGGTGGTGAGGAGTTGGAGAGGATGATCTAAGTTTTTCTTCCCCAATGACTTCAACTTTCAACTCCGAAGCCATGATTTTTGCTCCACGCTTGTCTTGTGTATCATAACAACACAACAAATCTTCCATAAAATACACAGATTCACCTACAACAACAGCTCATGTGCAATTCAAGTCAGTTTATTAGTCAACATTCTTATAAATGTATATACTAATTATCAAAACTCAGGGAAACACGTGGGTTAAGCCAACCAGCCAGGGCGGTGAGTCTGCTTTGTGTACAATTTATTTTCTTCTTTTTGCTGGGTACAGTGAATTAATCCATCACATTCCAAGCTATAAAAGTCATGTCCTTCAAAATCATGAAAGTTCTCCCAGGCTGCTCTTATGATTTGAAAATTTTGTCAACATCCATCTATGCCGTATGGTGAAGTCAATGGCGTGGCAGCAGTTTAGTTCTCATTGATTCTTTTGTTTCGGGTCCTACTAATACTTGTCTTGGCTGCGAACTTCCCTTATGTCATGCATGACTCATGATGCATGGTCATGTCAAAAAATCTTGGCCAAGAATCAAATAGAAAATATGATATCAAAATCCAAGCCAGAACACGAAATACTTATGTCGTTGGGTTTGTTGAGTTTAGAATAAGGGAGTTTCACTAAAACACTCAAAATGGGGGCTAAAATTATAAAAAAAACCCAAAACCCAAAACACTTTATAAACACACTCAAAACCCATCATTACACACACTCAAAACCCATTTATATACACACCCAAAAAATATACAATTGTTGATTTTGGGTGTGTTTCTATGTTTAAATAGTATTTGAATTTTTTTATAAATACATGTCTAAAATTGAGTTTATTTATAAATTTGTATTAGAATAAATCAATTAGATCGCAGAATGTGGACCAATTATATCCAATGCACAATGTGAAGGACATATTGATACTGAAAACCCAAAATTGAGTCCTGCAAGGTGGTGGTTGAGAAAGACCCAATTGTCTAGGTGGACCCAAATACACTGTAATATTTGGGCCGCAATGTAAGTCCATGTGCATTTTGTAATAGAGAGGAATTGGAGGCCCAACTTCCAGGTCCTCATGATAAGGTTTTGATTTTCTATATTTTGGGCTGTATTTATTTGCATACATTTAAAAACCCTAGTTTAAATTATTAGTGAAGCTGCATAATGAAATCCAATTCAATAATGAGAGGCAAATCAAAATGTAATAAATGAAAGCACAAGTGTACAAGCATCAAAACAATGAGAGATCATCCGAATTTAAGTAAACACGAGAGGAGGTTTCTAATTAATTTTTTTGGGGTACTAAGTAACACTTGGATTCAAAGATGCATATTCAAGCACCTCCTTGTTGTTTTCAAATTTGGTCATGTCTTCTTCCTTCAAAGTCAAGGACGCTTCTAAGCCATCACCATCTTTTGTATCCATCAATACAATTAAATTCTTGGAATCTACATTAGGGGTGACAACCCATGATGGCTTTCCCCATCCGAAATTGGATGTGTAGAAGGGAAACCTGCACCAACTGGAGCAACTGTAGCTGTCTATATCATCCCTTATGATGAGGTTCACAACCTCCTTGAAAAGTTGACATAAACCCTCCCCACTAACTCCGTTTCTATAGTTGTCTTTAAATTCCTCAATTCCCTTCCTTAATATAGTAACCAAGCTTTGAAGATCATGATCATCTACTTCAACAATTTCTTCCCTCTGTCCTGCAACCAACCCGAAAACATTCCCCAGTAAGTCTTTACCTGCCAAGACGCTAGCAAGTACTTTCCTCATGTTCACCGTTTGACACCATGCGGAGGGCATTGCCGACTCCAAGTTTGATCTTGATGCTTCAGCTGCACACTTCCAAATGAGTGCAGAGACAACTTCAACACGCGTAGGATTTGGCACAGCGGTAGTGGCAGCTTTGGACTTGAGAGCAGCAATCTTTGAGGCATCAAACACAAATCTCCTTGTTATGCACTTTTCTTTGATACTGGAGTTTGCGCTGCCACTACTAGGCGTTTGCGGTGCGTTTAGGAAATCTAGTGGTGGGAAAAGAGAAGCTGCAACACCAAATTCTGCAGGAGGCACCACATGGTCAGTAGTACTGGCTGAGCCAACTGCTATTGCAGCCCAGCTGTTGATGAATTTGCTCAGAGTAGAAGCATCTGCGACCTTATGTGAAATGTTGACCCCAATTGCTAATCCACCACACTCAAAGAAGTTGGCCTGGACTTGTAGAAGATAGCTTGTATGACCAGATGGAAGCAGTTTCCATAGCATCCCAAGATCTGGTCTGTCCAAAATCATTGAGATGGGGCAGTTGACTTGGGCCTCAAGAAATGCAGCCCCATGGTCATTGCAACTGATTGAAATATTATCTTGGAATTCCCCTGCAAAAGGATAGAAGTGAGTGAGGGCTTTGCCTAAGGATTTCTTTAGAAGCTTGGATCTTTCAACAACCAAAGAACGGTGATGATCAATATCGTTGACCTCATCACTGCTAGTGCTGGGATAGAAGAGAAGTAGTGGGATATAAATTTGAGGAATAAGCTGATCGAAAACAGAGAGGTTGACAGTTTCAAGATGGTGAGGAGTTGCAGAGGATGGTTTAATTGTTTCCTTGTGAGTTACTTCAACCTTTAGCTCTGAAGCCATAATCTTTCTCCACACTTAAAAGTTTCAAAGCAAAAATCACCCCCATATAAAGGCGCACACATTCACCACACAACAACAGCTCCTGTTGAATTAAAAAAAAAAAAAAAACTTTGTTCAGTTCTTTTATATCTGTATGTATTCAATCATTTCACATTATAATATCCTTCAATCATTCAAATCCCTTCCAGATCAAGCCGGCCGGGCCTCAATTTTTGGTGGCCAGGGCAATAACTCAAAATGGGGCCCTTTTTAGCAACAAAAAAAAACAAAGGAAAAAACAAATTTTGCACATGTATTCGTTATGGCATAAAAATCAGTTTGGACTATTATGGCTGTAATAGACTAAATACTTCAATGCATCATGATTCATGTCTACCATCTTCATTTTAAAATCTCTACATAGTCCAAAACAAAATGGTCAGCTTCACTGGTATATTCATATAAAAATAAAGCACGCCTTATTTAAAATCTCTACCGATCAATTTGTTTCTGTCTTCCCTACGTACATCCATCACCTGATCGTTTGTCTTGTTGGCACAATTGCCTACTCGACAAGTAATATTAATCTCTCAACTGGTAAGTGAAAAACCAAAACGTAAAAATACATGGGTTCTGATGGGCAGCCAAAGCTCCCTGTCTTAGATTTCTCTAAGGAAGCTGAAGCTCTGAAGCCTGGCACCAACTCATGGCTATCGGCATGCAAAGATGTTCGACAAGCACTTGAAGAGTTTGGCTGTTTTTTCGTATCGTATGACAAACTCCCTCCGGAGTTTCAAAATGGTTTTTTGGGTGCTCTACAAGAATTATTTGATCTCCCTACTCAGACCAAAATGACAAACAAATCTGAAAATCCCTCAAGTGGGTATTTTGGACAAATTCCCAGCCTTCCTCTCCATGAAGGCTTGGGCATTGAGAATGCAACAAATTTGGAGGAGACTCAAAAGTTCACAAAGCTCATGTGGGCTGGTGGAAATGATAATTTCTGGTAATATCTTCTAACTCCCTTGTAATTTTGAGTGACCATATGAAGTCCGTATAAATTGCTAATTGTTTGCAAACTCTTTTTCTTTTTCGTTTTTTGGTTGTAATTAAGTGAAAGTACACATTCGTTTGCAAAAGTGGCAGAGGAGTTGAACCAAATGGTGACTAGAATGATATTTGAGAGCTATGGTATGGAGAAGTACTATGACTCCTATGTTGGGTCCGTCTCCTATCTTCTTCGACTCTTGAAAAATAGAACACCCCAAGAAAATGAGCCTAGCCTTGGCTTCGTGGCTCATACTGACAAGAGCTTCACAACCCTACTTTATCAGAATAACCAAGCCCATGGTCTGGAGGTTGAAACTAAAAGCCACGAATGGATTAGGGCTGAGTTTCCACCTTCATCCTTTCTAGTCATGGCCGGTGATGCACTAATGGTAGGTCATCGACAATTATATTTTTTATTTTGGATATACATGTATATGTATAATGATAGAATCTAGGAAAGTAAGTGATCCATGTGCTTAATCAAGATCACATCAACCATCTATACTTTTTCGGTATGTTATATTGTCAGATCGTAAATCTGAACATTCAACAATATTTGTGTTCAAATGTGTGGTTTTTTTTAATATATAAAATATCGCATATTACAGACCATCTTATGGTTTTTAATGTTGGCTTGTTTGTTTAGGCATGGAGCAATGATAGAATATTATCTCCCAACCATCGAGTTATTATGAGTGGGAATGAAGCAAGATACTCTCTGGCGCAATTTGCATTTAGTGACGGCGAGATACATGTGCCGGAAGAGCTTGCTGATGAACAACACCCCTTACGCTACAAGTCATTTGATCATCCTGGACTCCTAGTTTTCTTTCGCACTAATGAGAGCTATATTTCAAACAGTGCTATAAAAGCCTATTGTGGTGTTTGAAATAAACCTTGTAACTAATAAGAATGTTTGCTACGCTTGCGTGTGCTGTGTGGTAATTTCAAGGCTTGGTTGTGGGTTTTTTAATTGTTCAATCTGTTTCTGCTGTGTTACCTTCATTTTACTGATCATGTGAAAATAAAAACTATGAATAGATTGTACAAGCTTCTTAAGCTTCTCATGTTGTATGTTAATTGTCCATTTACAGATCTAAAGTACTGAAAGTCTTACTGTCTTATCAAATCATGTTATGTGGTACCGTTCAATCCATTTTACACATTCAAATAGCGGCCGGCAAAACATTGGGTTTGGGCCGATCCGGCCAAACAAAACCAAACTAAATTGAGCAGTTTAGTTTTATTTTTATATTAAAACAATATAATTTCAGACTGAATCGAACCAAATCGCCATTATTTTGGTTTTGTTTGGTTTGGCATATTTGGAAATTGCCCAATCTTATCACTATTTCCTATCATATATGATCTCACACATTGATATGATATCCATCATTTAATAACAAAATCTAAAATCTCTAACCCATTTGAAGTTGACGATATCTCTCTCTCAACATTTCTCAACGGTTAGAAGGTTTCTCAAATATTGGTTAATCTATGGTATGAATCCCTATTTATATATTGTTTAGGAAGGGAAATGGGTTTTATTTGCATTGTTATGGCTTTTGGTTTTTTTAAGCTTTATCTCTTTTTGATTATTCTAAATTTGCAATCTTAATTGGGATGTCTAGGCCAAATTTTCTTCAATTCTGCGTAATCGTTAGTGGAAGTGCACTAGATTGTCTTAATTTTGATGTTAGACCACTTCGTTATTGTAATGACCCTTTATGGCTGATGACTTTTTTGGCTGAATTATGAATGCAATCCTAGAATTTTTATAAATAAATCAAAGAAGGGAAATGGCAAAATCATTTTTGTCACTGAATAGATTGGTTTGAGGCCAACCAATGCAAACGGTGATAGTGCTTTGGTTCATTATGTGGTTTGAGACCTTAAACAAACCAAATCGTTGTGTGCCCGCACCTAAAAAACTACTAGTTTGATTGATAGTTTTATAATCAGTGGTCCTTAGAAGGGTGTAACATCTCAATCTATACAATAACCAAACGTCACCCTTTAAAATTATATCATTATTTTCTATTTCTTATATATAGATCATGGTTGATCATCTATCAAGGTTGGTATTTATCCCTTGGACCGAACCGGCCAAACAAAACCAAGCTAATTTGAGCAGTTTTGTTTTATTTTTATATTAAAACAATATAATTTCAGACTGAATCGAACCAAATAGCAATTAGTTTGGCTTTGTTTGGTTTCACGAATTTGAAAACTGCTCAGTCTTGTTGGCGAGTCTTTACTTAGTTAAGATTTTGGTTACTTACTAATTATTATTTAGTCCTATTATAATAGAGATTTATTTCCTATTTTATTTAGGGTTAACACATCTTTGTACTTGTATAAATACCTTCATATTAGAGAAGAATAATAATATGAGCATATATGAGCATAATATATGTCCTACTTTGTTTGACTAATCTTGTCATCATTTCCTATATAAAACCAATCCAAATGGTGATATCATTATGTGGTTTGAGATTTGAAACAAACCAAATCGTTGTGTGCCCACACCTAAAAACTACGAGTTTTGATTGATAGTTTTATAATCAGTGGTCCTTAGAGAGAGTGTAACATCTCAATCTATCTTACAATAACCAAACGTCATCCTTTAAAATTATATCATTTTAATACTGGATGGTGACGCTAATTTATCTCCTCTAATGGTCTGTTTTCTGCAGGTTGACCCCAAATGCAATATATTAACGGCACCCGTACAGTTTGTGACTATTTTATTTCCGTTAATTTTTAATGTATTAATATAAATAGCAGCCCAGAAATAATTGATCATGTACTAATTAAAAACTTAAAAGTCCCAATCAAGTATCAAAGGGTTTGCAGCTCAGTTTGCTAACAGTTTTTACCATGCATTCGAGGTCTTATGTTTCGAATCACTCTATGTTCTTTGATTTAGGACAAACCACTCAAACTATAAGGGGTTTGCAGCTCAACATTAATTAAAGGGTATTTATTATGCATTCTATAGGTCCTGTGTCTGAAGCACTAAATTCTCGATGAAACCACCCATACTACAAGCCCTTACATGAACAGATTGGGTTAGTATATACCGACTAGTAGTATTAGCACAAACAGCACGAAGTGACACTATCCGAATGGAAAACAATGCGATTGCCATGGCACCAACAACATAAATTTTATGATAGTATGGTTTGTGGTTAGATAGCACCAAGTCTCATCAATGCAACCTCTATAATATAGGTTGACCAAGGTGGTGGTTGAGAAAGACCCAATTCTCTAGGTTGACTCAAATACAATCTCATATTTGGGCCACAATGTAAGTCCATGTGCATTTTGTAATAGAGAGGAAGAATGGAAGTCCACCCCCCATGGAGGCCCGACGTTCGGGTCCATATGGACAATATACCTGAACTGGTTACAAAACCCAGATCTAGTTCATTATATGGGACTCAAAACACTTATGTTTTTACACTTAGCCTAGACATATATGTTTGTAAATAGAGAAACACTTCAGTTTTAATTGACCCTAGGAAATC